GTCGGGGGGTGGTTAATGGGGGGTGGCTGCATGGAGCAAGCACCCAACCTCTGTACAGGAGTTTGTACTTTGAAAAGTGTTGTGACACTACAGGACAGACATCAAGGGGCCTTTTACACCTCTGGAAACCAGAGAGCCCATATATATTATTAATGCCAGTAATACCATAAAACCCAGACTGAATCCTTAATTGCTGCTCTATTACTGAGGAAAGAGTTCCCTAGAAAAATGACTGAAGGGGAATCACCTTTCTGCCTAGTTCCAAAATAAGATACTTCTCCAAGTCCTCCATCTTGATCTTAAGAGCATTTACAATGAAGCCACAAATGAATTACAGTCTTTTGAGCAATGCTTTGCCCTTAATGCATTAGTGGGATTTGTCATTATGACAGAAATTAAGTAATTTGTAATGATCCTGCTTCTGCTTTTGATTTCATCAGCACAGATTGCTTTGAGTTGATTTATTGTTCGTTATAAAAGCCTGATATTTAATAGTCAAGGAAATGTGCTCATAGTTATGAATATTGGATCTGGCTCCAAAAATACCTGTTCTCTCCAGACCCCTGCCCCCTCATGAGCACCGCCAGCACTGTGTGCTAGGTGGGCTCTGATACCTGTAAGGAAGAGCTGTCAGAGGGATTAAAAAGAAGAAAAATAAAAGGAACCTGCTTAGAATGAACATTCAGTTAAATACAAATGAGAAAGACCTTTATCCTTGAGCAACTTTTCCAGGTAGGCCTTGTCAGCATAAAGCTCTCCAAGAAGCTGCCGCTCTGTTTTTGGATTCCTCGCAGGCTTCTGCTTCCTTGTCCAGCTCTGATCCTTAGTCAGTTTGGTTTGGAGTTTCTCATTTGCTTTCTTGCTCTGCAGTGAGAAAAAAATAAAGGGAGTTAGGGGGTATTAGTGGGGAACACTAGAATTAGCAGAATTCTGTTTACACTCCAAATCAGCCAACTTATTGTTTACATAAAAGCAAAAAGTTGATATCTCACCAATTGCTTTGGTCATGAGCAACTGAAATTTTGCACCCAGTTGTGCTCCCTTACTTCCAAGAACAGGAGGGGGCATTAGAGTAACAGCAAGACTAAATTCTGCCCTGGTGCCTTGCACTGTTCTGGGGGTTCCCCTGGTCGGTGCTGGGGAGGACATTAAGGCTGTGGGAAAGGCAGCTCTAGGTGTCCACAGTCAAAGCAACAGAGGCTGTAAGAGCCAGGGCTGCTGAGAGAGCAGGAGGGCATTTCTGAAGTTTCACATTCAAACCCCCACCAATTACAGTGCTAATCTTTAGGCCCCTTTGTACAAATGATTTCCTCTGAGGACCTGTAACTCCAGCTGAAGGAAGCAAGGAGCATTCGCTGCGCTGACGTGGAACAAAACGTGGCTGGGTGTCTCAGGGGTGAGGCACTGCTCCAATGGACCACCCCAAAATTAAGCAATCGAGAAAGTGTCCAGTATCAAAAACATGAACCCTAAACATCAGGTAAACCCAGAGTAAATATCCTGGCTACATGTACCCTGGCTCTGACCTCAGGGCTGTTACTGATTAGCCTTCGATGGGAGATCAGCAGCACCAGGCAGGAACAGGCTGGGAGGGAAATTTCAGACTGGGCTCTGTTTCTCCCTGGCTGCTCTTCCCAGACCTTCAACCTCCTCCTTTAACGTTTGTCTGAGCCCGAACGAGGCTGAGAGCAGGTTGGTGAGTGCTCTCCTGCAGAGCAGGGTGCTTCCCCAGAGCAGCCCTACCCCCAGAGACTGCTAATCCTCTAACACCTCTCAGAAAGTGCCAGTGTTCTCATAACTCCAGTTAGCCTCTAAAGCAAGAGCTCTTCAGCCTGTACCTCTGCCTGCCTGCTTATAAAGCACAGATCCTCTTTATTCTCCAGTTTAATAGAGGATGGACCTGCAAACAGAGAAAATACTTGTCAGTGCTCAAGAACAGCAGTGCAGAGGCTTTAGAAATTACAGTGACCATAAATGTGCCGAGCCCATAACGTCCTGTTTGAAATAAGGCTTTCTACTCATTTTTTCATGTGGAATATGCAGATGTTGGTAATTTCTGGGAATACAGCTCATGGATGCAGCTCCTCTCAGCATGTCAATCTCTATTTCCTGATGGCACTGGGGGCTCCCAGCACAGCACAATTTGCCTACAGAGACATGCTCCATCCTGCCTGGGAACAGAGGAGGGAAGAGGACAATGGGTTCTTCTGAAGGGTGACAGCAGAAGACAGAGTCCAGGAGGAAGGGGGGAGCTTCACACACTGTTTCTGAGCCTGCCAAGCCAAGCAGATTCTGTGAAGTGCTTTTGGGGATGTGCCCTGTTAATCTGAATGTGCATTTCCCAACTATTTAGACATTTAGATCAAATGCTAACATGTTTCCTTGTGTCCTTTTCCTTGCATCTAGGAGCCATTTCTTGATTTAAAGAAAAAAAAATACAACAGTCTTTTTGGTTTTTAATCAGTTCATTTGCTTACAGCCCAGGTGCTTGAAGGCACGTAGAGCCCTTAGCTCAGCATGTCAAGTGTGGGAAGGATTTCAGGTGAGAGCTGCAAAGATATCTAGGCACTTGTATTAAGCTAAGAAAGCATCAGTGATGGAGGAAAGCAAACCAAATCTGGAAACTCTCCCTGCTTTTTAAATATCCCATAGGAAAAGGCTTCAGGCTTTTACACAGCAGGGACATGGAGTTAATGTGTGGCACAGAGATTTTGAGACCAATTACAGGGGGAGTAGGGCACTTGAACAGCCGTGGGCTCAGGGCTGTGGTGTGGGGGTGTGGGCTCCACAGATCCCTGGGCAGCCCCAGGACAGGCCCCGTGCCCCTGGGCCATCCCCCTTCACCAGCCTGGGACAGCTGAGGGAAAAGGGAGGAGTTTTCAGTTTGCTTTGAACACCAGCAGGTCCTGGGCCAGGAACAGCTCCACTGCAATCATCCAGAGCTTCACTGCTCTTATGTAAGCGGGGGGAAAGCATCCAGAGCTTCACTGCTCTTATGTAATCTGGGGTAAAGTCAGGATCTGAGGGAGGCTGGGCAGTCAGGATCTGAGGGAGGCTGGGCAGTCAGGATCTGAGGGAGGCTGGGCAGTCAGGATCTGAGGGAGGCTGGTCTCAGGCACCAAGGCAAATTTTGTTACAAACTGTGAGGATCAGGATAAAGATCTCTGAATAGAGTCTGTAATCAGCAGGGCTGTAAGCAATTGAGCTGCTTTTTTCCTGTGTTATCTAAAACATTTTCATGGTGACTTTGGAAATTTAAGATAGTGTCACAATCTGCTTACATAACTGAAGTTATTAGACAATGTACATGAGTAGGCATGAAACAAAGAGCTGTGTTCGTTTGGGTTTTTCCTGGTTTCAAGGGCAACCACTGAGCACATGAAGCCAGAAGCAGAGAGCTCTGGTTGTTGCAGGGTCCTTGGCTCACTTGCTGAGCCAACATGCTGTCAGTGGTCCACCAGAAGCTCCTGGCTTTGCTGGTGGGGGCCATGAGATGACACATCTTACTTCCAATGCAGTTGACAATCGCCTCCTGCGATTTCTCGATGCCCAGCCTGAACTTGTGCAGCTCTGGACGCAGTCTGTGGCCTCGATGGTAAAACACCAATGCAAATTCAAAATCACCCATGGTGTACAATGTCTCAGCCTTTTGGTAGAGTCCCTAAAATGACATTTGGAAAAGAAAAAAGAATCAAAAAGAGGAGGAAAAAAAAGCTTCAGAGATGTCAATGAGTTCCCCACCAGGGAGAAGGGAGAGCCCCACACTGGCAGTCTGCAAAGAATAAAATCTGAGCCTGGAACTCAGAGCTGGCTGTTTCTACACAACACTGTCTCCCAAACCCTTCTGAGTTTCACAGATAAAAGAAAGACCTGTCCCTGGCCACTCCACACTCTCACCACTTCGTACCTTGGAGAATGTTTTGTCATTTTGGAGAGAAGCTTCAGCATCTTTCAGGGCATTTTCTGTGTCTCCAAGTTTCAGGTAACACTTTGAGCGGGCAGCTAGGCAGTGTTTGTCTCCTGCTCTCAGCTTCAGCGCCTGGGAGGGAGCAGACAGGGGCGGGTCGCCAGGGCTGGCTGGGCAGCGCGGACACGCAGGGGCGCCCCTGGCTGGGGG